AAAGTTGATTTAAAGGCGCATGAGTTGGCAAGGATAATTGGAGCCACACACTCCACTTTTACACCATTGGCAAAGTCTTGAAGAGGCTTCGCCTAGTTTCGAAAATCCAAATTTTGCTCAAGGATCAAAAAGACATCTCTCCTATTCTGACTTATCAAGACGATCGGTGATCCTGCATAAGATCATCATCAACCTGTTTAAAGCCAAAGGATGCCTCAAAACCGACCTTTCGAAATCGTAGATCAAGCTCATTTGGGCTATCTTGACAGTCAATCCTTCTCTCTTCCTCACCTCATAATATTCCATATGTACAGAGCATTGCGTAAAGATAAGGGTCATCTCGCCATATGGAGCTTTGATCACTCGTATCTTCATGTATCTCAATTTATCTATTCCTGGTGAGTTGCGAGAAACTATGCTTCCCCTTATGTTTGTTGGAGAAAAAATGCTCTCCAAAATGAAGAAATTTGAAGATATCAGGGACATAGTAAAAAGGAAAGAGGCTCAACAAATGAGGCCAAATCAGTTGGCAAGAAAGTTCGAAAGAAAAGGAGCAAAGGAAAAGAACTAGTTCAAGAAGCAAGCAAACCGATTCTCCAACCCCAATCAAAGTGTACAGTAAAGAAAAGAAAACTCTTCGCATGATGAAAATGATGAAGCAGTATAAAGACACTTTGAATCAGTCACATCGCAGAACTGTAACATGTTCCCGAACTGGGCCCAAATGTTTCGTAACCAATTCATGAAGAGCATGTTATCAAGAACAATCACCTGCTCGGGGGAGATTCCACCGTAATCACCGCAGTGGTACAATCGCCCGAAAAAGCTAATGACCAAGGTCGCATTCAAAATCGAACATCCTTTCGATTCTCGCTCGAGATAAAGGACAAGCGGTCGCTTCTAGAGCAAAATTTGCGAACCTACGTAAAATTGTTGAGGAAAACACCAAGGCTCAACAACTTCAAGCAAAGCAGCAGACAAAGCGGAATTAGAAGGAGCCATTGCTATGTGCTCATCCAGCATGGATAAAGCCATAGGTCAATGCAGTTCGAAGATTGAGGAGGCTGTCTCAATATTGGAAAATTTTCAACTCGATTCGTACTCCTAAAAAATAGCCTGTTTTTCAACATTTCTCTCTATTTTTTCAATTGGTCCGTAATATTTCTCATACTTATTGTTAGACTCGATTGATTACTTAATATCAATGCATTATTCTATCTATTACTATTCTTTTGTTGATGACAAAAAGGGGGAGAAATCATATTGCGATTTACAGTGTTATTCTCAAAGGAAGAAAGACACGTATATCAACGAGTTTGCTATTTCAATCTGTGTTTATTGAGCTTAATATGTTTAAAATAATTCATCTCGCAAAGAAAGTTTTGTCACCATCAAAAAGGGGGAGATTGTTGAGGAAAACTCCTATTAATTTTGAAGTTGACAAAACCTTTCTATGTTATTGTAAATCGATACTTATTCGAACTATTCCAGTCCGTATATTCCGGAAGCTCGTAAGAAAGTTATTCGACTTTACAATCTGTCAAGTATATTTCAAGACCCACATAATCGCAGCTTCCGAGATTCAAGCGTAGTTATTCGATGCAGATGCAGCACGAAGAAATTATTCAGACGAAGAAATTCGTCGACGCAGAAGAAATTATTCGACGCAGAAATTCTTCGACGCAGCACGCAGGAGTTCTTCTCGATGCGCACGCGAATATCTTCGCACGTGAATTCGTAACGTAACACAACAGCTAGTGATCTGGCATGGATTTCACAGACGGAATGTTCTGATTGTCTCAATCTGAATCAAACTGATTGACAATCAAACATCATGACAAGAATGCATTACAACGGACAAAGTTCTACTTATAGAAACCAAGATTCGATTGTATGGGCGAATTAATCACGGGATTGGACCTGTCAACCAACGGCTACTCAATCCTTACTATACAAATCTGTCCAAGGTAAAGATTGGAAGATGATCCTCTGAAAGCTGTCCAACGGCTAGTTTGGAAGCAGAGGAGTATTTAAGGAGATCAACGAGCAGCAGAAGGGAGTACAGAATCAAGAATCAACAAGTCCAAAGTCTGAGCTTAATCCAATCATTTTTCTCTTGTCATTCTGAGCCAAATATTAAGATCTTGAGGAACACTTTGTAAGAGTGATTGTGTGAGATAGAGAGTCCTATCATACACAAGAGTGTAAACACTCAGAAGTTGTAACTCCTCTTGATTACATAGTGAAATCCAGCCAGTAGGCTGTAAGCGTGGGAGAGTGGACGTAGGCTGCTATATGTCGAACCACTATAAACTTGTGTGCAGATTCTCTATCCCTTATCTCTTACTTTACATTCTCGCACATCAAGAGCACAGCCTATATAATCTGTCTTGAATCTGAATTTTATTCAGACTCTTCCGTGATTTATTTTGTTTCCGCATAAATTACTAAAAATTGTTTTAGATCACCTATTCACCCCCCTCTAGGTGATCCTTGCTAGCTACATCAAGATGAAATAAGAACAAAAAAGACCGAGAACGACAAAGAGAATCCTTATGCCTTGGGAGAAAGTCCTTGAATGCATATACCAGTAGGCGGCTTACCAGAGTTCGGAGGTAATGAACAAATCCTCCCATTTAACCACGCCGTCTTCGAACAATTTCTTCAAAGCAACTCCAATCTACAGACAAAAATGTGTAAATAATCATCAAAAGAAACTTCAATTATCCAGATAAAGAAAGTCCATCCTAGTAACATGTTTAAGGAACCATGAAAAAACAATGGTGAAACTGCAAAGCAACAAGCAGAGGAAGGGAATGAAGATCAATCCGGCTACAAAACCAACTGAACGAAAAGAAAATCTGCTATCACGTTAAGCTTAACAAGAGCATAGAATACTGCAATTCACATGACTAGGGAAGAATTGAAATCCGCTCATGAAAAGAAAGAGAGTGACAATCTGAGTCGAACAAGAAAAATGGAGAATCAGTGACAATTTGAAATACCTCTGCTTCGTTTCCATTAAGCTGCGCACAATCGATATGCTGGTATCCGTGCTGCATTACTACACAAAAAGAACAAAAAGGTTATCAAGAATCAATTGAACTCATAAAAAGCAACCATATCGCAATCTAACTACAATTAAGACGTAATAAAACGCAAGAATAATGTGCTAATGTGAAAAGCTAGAACACAGATTTACACGCAATACTGCACACGGATTTATATGTCAACCTGCACTCTCCCCCAGACACTTTGGATATCAATAGTGGGAACCCCTCACATAGTACAGTGAAGAAAACACCCTGAAACATTGTATTAAAACAAGACTTCAAAGGGAGAACCTTGATAGCCATCTCTACGGCATTGCCCACAAGCCCCGGATCACCCTGCCATGTCCCCAGTCCTACTGAAGGGATTTTCGCTCCTGTGTTCAGCTCGAAGTATCTGATTTCCTTCCCCATTTTTCTTTCCCTCTTTTCGTTAAGGGCTTTTCTTCTTGAAAAACGAAGAAGAAGCAACTACGAAGGAAACCCACTTACAGAACTCGACTCAGCGGATCGCGAAACCAAAACCCATTGACAATTGAAAGAGAAACTGAAGAACAATGACAGCAACAATACTACTCTTTTAGGGGATAACAATGGCGTACTCCTTTTATAGTGGAAAGGAACTGGATAATCTGTGATTGCTTTCTAGTCAGTCTTCGCGTGGACGCCAAGTGACCGCCAGATAACTCGAAACTTCTAAGCTGGTCGGTCTTGACATGTGATTAGCACGATGAAATAACTTGTATTCAATTCTTGGTGGTGACTTGTGAATGGAATACGCAGACGAAATTATCTCCGGTGGTCTACTCCAATGGTGATCTTTCGAGAAAAACTGTCGGAGTTAACTCAGACCCGTGGAAGCCTCCGCATCAGTGGGAACGTGAATTCTGTATTTTCATTCGGCCCACCTAGCTTCACTTAATTTAGGGAAAATGACAAAAATAGTCTATGAACTTTGACCCAACATATAATGTTGTCTCTGAACTTTTAAATTGTTCAATGAGGTCAATGAACTATTGATAAATGTTAAATACAGTCATTCCTTTTACTCAAATGACAAATTAGATGTTATTTGATGATGTAGATAATAATCTGTTGCATTAGATGTTTAGCTATGATGGTGAACAAACGGCCCCACTTTAGGGCTCAGTTTGAAATTTTTTGCCTTTTTTTTTTAGTCAGAATAGCCTAACTTCATTAATAACGGCTTTCAAATATACAAGGTGTAGGCATCATTAAATTAGATACTCCAAAGGGCTTGAACATAAGATCTAACAACTAGAGAGCCAAAAAAAAACAGGGGCTTTCGTGACCCAATCAGCATCCCTATTGGCTTCACGGGTACAGAAGCAGAAGGTCAAGTTGCTAAAATGCTGAAGGTGTACTTTGCAAATGCCAATCGACTCTTGCACCCCACAAAAGCTATATAAACTCTTTCCCGGTCAAAACTCTTAACCACAGTGAAGTTTATCAGAAGCAAGCAGAGTTTCTCGTCCTTTCTCGACTTCAAGAATTCAAGAGCTTCAATGCATGCTATGGTTTCTGCCATAGTCACCGGAGAACCTCTCGCTGTTTTAGCTAGATCATCAGCGATTACCGTTTGAAAGTTCCAGCAGACAATCGAAATAGCCCCTGTGCAGTTACCCTCTATGAAGACTGGGTGGATATTGACTTGCAGAGTCCCCATGAGAGTGGTTGATTAGTAGGAAAAGTGCTTTATTAGTAGGAAGTAAACTGAATTCACAGATACAAACTCAATTATCCGTAATTGACTTTGTTACGCGCAATACATTATTTATCAGAACCAGTCGAATCTGTGCAAAGTTCATGCTGGGAGCAAGACAACTAAGTTATATGGTGGAAAATTAGCTAAACATAAAGTGCGTAAAATCAATGAAATCAGCTCGTAGACTGAAAGGGACAGAGGAACTGGCGTGCTGGACTCTCAAGTAGCGTAAGGTACTTGGTAATTCAATTTGACGAGGCAGAGAGTTTCATGAACATGGACATTTCACATTGCAAATCAACACAAACAGCAACAAGACAACAAATACAACACATTTTATCTAGCACACAGAACTAGGATTATTTGAACTGACTTCAGACATAAACTGGATGAAATGACCAACTTCCATACGTTTGCACACTCCTCTTTACTTTAAATCTTTCCATGCTTAGATCTCCCCATCCCAGAATTCCTCCACGCTCTTGTATGGGCTGAGAGTCTCATGGACAAAAACTGTCGCCCTAAGCAGCCTTGCCTGCACGCCCAATCATAAGCAAAAGAAGTAACAAAATTAAGGATTGGAGCATCGCATCGAAAGCCCGAGAGTAAATAGTTTCAATGGAAACAGAAATGCATGGCATAATCAAACGGACAAGGAGGGAGTTAATGTAGTATATTCACCTGTTCAATCTCGGAAAACTTGGCAAACAAATCATCTGGTATAGACCAGTCGAAAACGTCGAAATTCTCTATGATTCTTTTCTCATTAGTGCTTTTGGGGAGCACACTGTGACCCATCTGAAGACCCCACCTTAGAGCAACCTGTGCTGGACTCTTTCCCAACTTCTCTGCCACCATGGTCACCACCAGCTGCTTGAGCACCTCACTTTTGATGAAGGCCGAGCCGGGCGATCCCAAAGGCGAGAAACCCTGAAACAACAGATCCAACAAGGAATCAAGATATGCATAGTAACATCCTAATTTGCGCATACTTCAGTCAACTCAGAGCAACACTCATTTTGCTATGTGCCATGTATACTGGCAGAAACTTATCCATTGATGAATTGGCTCCTACATTGACGCTTCAGATTAATCTTATGACCAACATTTAACAGATCGCATTTATGTACCATAATCTAACTCAAGTAATACAGAAGAATAAAAAAGGTGGAGTTGAATCCTTCTCACAGTCAAGTGAATTCCTTTGGATTTGCAAAATTCATGTAGCTTCTTCTGTTGCCACGAAGGATGACATTCCACCTGAACAACAGCAGGAGGTACACGTGCAATCTCCAACAGATCTGCCAACTTCTTGGTGGAGAAATTGCAGACTCCAATGGCCCGTGCCTTACCTGAATCATATAGTGCTTCCATTGCCCTCCATGTGCTCGGTATGTCATGTTGCTCGATGTTTTCAGGGTTAAATCCCACCGATCCCTTCTTCATCCGTACCGGCCAGTGCATCTTAACAGTGATGAAACCATATAGTGTGTGGATAAGAGTCGATGACACTTACAAATACTTAAGTACACGAAAATTAGTCAGAACCGAACAAAGGGAAGTTAAGAGTGCATTGCGCTGACAAGACCGAGACAAAACTATCAGCATGTACTTACGAGGTACAAATCTACATAGTCAAGCTGCAAGTCGCTCAAAGTTCTTTCCATAGCCACCGGCACATCCTCTGGGGCGTGATCAGTATTCCTAGAGAAAAAAAAATCCGCAAATATCGCCAGTGAGTTCAGACAAAAAACATACAAGAAGTATCCCATTGCTTGTCTATGAGGTTTTGATAGGCTTCATATTCATGTAGTCTTCCTGAATCTATCAGTTCTACTTTTTGGATCGGTTCTACTTTTTGGATCGGACTTTCTAACGCAAGAGAACAAACAATACAAATATAATGTGGAAGGTCTCAAGCCTTACAGGTAGTCCTAGAATACATTCATGTGTAACAAGTGGTGATTCTTGTAAGTGTGGAGATACATCAACCAGTTTGCAGAACAGCTTTACCAGAGTTTGGAAGTGATAAACAAATCCTCCCGTTTAACCACGCGCTCTTCTAACAATTTCTTGAAAACCGCTCCAATCTGCAGCAAAATTCAGTAATTAAAGTAGAGCTCATAAATACAGATAGAGGAAAATCATGCGAACTTTGCTCTTGAATAGACGACTGGTAATCTCTAAAAAGAGTTATTAAATATGAGGGATTGCTAACTAAGGTAAACAATTTCGACCAAAAAGTACTAAGGTAAACAAAAATTAGTAACTTTAAAAAATTTCTAAATTAAAAAATAAAAATTAAACATCGGTAAGTAACTTAACTCGGACTTGGTGACTAAAAACCAATCGGTAATTTAATTTGACAAAAGTTGATAAATCACTCTATTGGCAGGGAAAATTATCCAATTGGTCATAAACATATTGTATGGATGTCAATTCAGTCCTCAGCTTTTCAATTTTGTCAATTTAGTCTTAAAACATTTAAATGAAATTTTAAAGTAGTCCTTCCAGTCAATTTTTGTTGGAATCGTTGACGTGGCGGTGTGCAAGGAAAATTAGCCAGAAGGACTACATTGAAATTTCAAGCAAAGGTTTAGGACTAAATAGGGAAAAATTAAAGTTTAAAACTAAATTGGCATCCTTACAGTAGATTTAGGATTGATTGGACAATTTTCCCTTGGTCGGCAATTTCTTACGAGAGTTCGTAGTTTAAAGAGTTGATATGTTATGCAAACAAAAATTGGTAAGTTAGTAAAAAATTTACTAATTCGCAAACTATAAAAATAAAATTGGTAATTTGATAAAATTGTTGATAAATTACCAACAAGTTACTTGAAAAAATCACCAGTCTTTTTTTTTTTACCAACAATTTTTTGATACTTACCAACTTTTTATTAAATTTTACCAACACCGAAAAAAAAAATCCGTCTTTTTGGGGGATTGAACAATAGAATCTACATGATCATGATGGTCTCTTCCCTTCAATTGATCGGCGTAGCGCGATGAGTTTCAACATTGTAGCTAGAACTAAAGGAGTCATACAAACTCGTTGAAAGTGAAAACAGCCTGCCAAACTTTCAAAGGGAAATAAATAAGCATGCAAATAACACCCGTCGATCTTTTTTATTTTTTATTAACTTAAGGGCACGACCGTGATTGGCCGGTTATCTAGAGGGACATTAGTATAGCAATCCATTGTCATGACCCCCACTTATATTTGAGTTCCCATGGCCCTAAAAGTCGAATAGGTGACCCATATAAATCAGATAAGGGAAATATAGCAAATTGAACATACAATCTTCCTTTGAGAAGATTAAAGCAACATGAGGCACTCATGATAATTCATGAGGTCCATACACTGTGTTATCTTTTGGAACATGGAAAAAAGAACTTCTGAAACTTCGGAGAGAGAGTAATTGAACAGCCAAATGGAGCATCGCCAACCAAATAAAATGTAACAAGAAAATCTGCTAAGGAGCAGATCGAAACAAGAGCAAAGAAACTGCATTTCACATGACAATGGAGTAAAAAATCAAAATCTATACATGCCCAGAAAAGTAGTGACGGTGAAAGTAAGAAAATTAGAGATACAAAGACAATATCAGATACCTCTGCTTCGTTCGCATAAACTTGTGCACAATCGATATGCCTGTATCCATGCTACATTACCACATGAAAAAAGCAAGAGGGTAGTAAGAGACAAATTAACTAGTAACAAACTGGCACTTGCAAATTCAAATGAGATCCGACACAGTTGAGAAAGACAGGATATTATAAACTCAGAAGCAAAGATCAAGAAGGATAACCCGAATGGCGATGTTGACAGCACTGCCCACAAGCCCAGGATCAGACTGCCATGTCCCCAATCCCACTGAAGGGATTTTAGCTCCTGTGTTCAGCTCAAAATATCTGATCGCATTGGCCATTTTCTGGGTTTCTTACTCGTTAAAAACAGAGGTCCAAGCAAGTTCAGGAAAGCAAAAGAAGACTAGACTCGCTCAACTCAGCGGAGTGCGGAACAAAAGCCAGTTCGAAATTGAACGAGAACAGTGAGTGACAGCTACAGTAGCCTCTTCGTACAGAACGAAATGGAAAGATCTCGTCGCTACTATAGAAACGTGTGGATACTAGTGAATTCGCCTTGTGTTTCGATAAGGATGATCTAGCAACAGGTCTCGATCATTTGACTGAGTTGATCAAGTGTTACGAAGTGGTGGAGATAGTGAACAGGAGAAGAAAATATCTGGAGCCTATAATTGACAGATCTTTAGTGGTCGGTCGATCCAGTGAAAAGGAAAAGCTGGGGGACCACACTGGGTGGGACAAAGTTGACGACTTTAGGGGCACCCATGGTAATTATTATATTTCTGTCCAGAATTAATTTTCAGTTCTCGGAAATAGACTTGGAACAGAAACCTGTTTGGTAACGCAATTCCATTTTTCTATTTCTGGGATAAGTTTTTGTTCCAGAACTGGTTCTAGACAAAACATCAGAATAAAAAAAAAAGTAGGTTTTCTATTTATAGACAAGAAATGAAAATCATTTATAAAAGAACATATCTTCTCTCTTCAAAACACATCTCTTCCTAAATTTGACATATGTCTGATCTAGTCAGACCGGTCCGAATCGGTTCGATCCGGTTCATTCCCGGCAGGAAAATAAAAAAAATTCTAAAAAAATTAGAAAAATCATTAAAAAAAATTAGAAAATTCAGAAAAAAAATCAAAAAAATTCAGAAAATCCATAAAAAAAAATAGAAAATCCGAAAAATTCCTAAAAATCTCAAAAAAAATTCAGAAAATCCATAAAAATTGAAAATTTCCAGAAAAATTCATAAAATTTCCAGAAAATAAAAAAAAGTCAGATTTCGGGAAAATAGGAAATTTGGTGAATTTTTTCAAAAATAAATCAAAATTTCAAAATTTCAAAAATTTCAAAACTTCACAAAATGGCTTAGAATACCTATGGCCACCCATTTTAAGTGAAATTTAAATTTTTTAAGGTGCCCAAATGATATTTTTGAAGACTCTTTAGTTTAGGGATTTAAAAAAGGTTTTAACCCCTAAAAAACCCTAAAAGGGGTTTAACCCCCAAAAGGGGTCTTTACCTCTAAAAAACCCTAAAAAAGCAACACAATCCTTTAAATGAATAAGCCTTTAGGGCTTTACTAGGGTTTGAGTGTTTTGATTGATTTTCATTTTAGAGACCACTCCTAAAAAATGAATTTCTGTTCCCGAAAATAGAAATTTGTGTTGTTATCAAATGGGTTTATGTTCCAGGAAATAGAAATTTTATGCTATTATTAAATGGATTTCTGTTCCAAAAATAGAAATTTTTTATCATTATCAAACGAGTTTCTTTCCTCAGAATCTCGTCCTGGGAACAGAAATAAAAATAGTTATTATTTGCGCCGTAGGTGAATGATAAGTATTTCTGTTCCAGGAATTGTTTCTGGAATAGAATAGTTATCATTCACGCCCTAGGTGATCGACGTCGCAACAGTGTCCCGAGTCACGTCTTGGACGACGAATTTTTTGTAAGATAATGCAAGGTGGGGCTAGAGAGAGAGAGGCACTGCTGTGGATTTACATGGGGGATCCGACGTGAAGATGGACAACAACCTTTGTTCGAATCAATTTCTTGGTATCTAGATTTTCGATAACGTTCATAGTTGCGACAGGCAAGGAAAAAAGAAAGGGGTGTTTGTGGTGAAATCTGAGCTCAAGACACTTGTTTCACGTGTTCCACGTTCTTTCTCCAGTGAAAAAACGAGGAAAAACTCCTCTATGTTAGGGGTGTGCAAACGAATCGCCCGGACTAGATTGGACCAACCGGTTTGATCCGGTTTCAAGGAGCGTCGATCTGGTTCCCGGTTCCTAAAAGTGGAACCGGTATCTGGGCGGTCCGGCTTCCGGTTCCAAGGGAGAATTGGACCGACTACATATACTTTTTTTTATTTTTTATTTCTTCAAGAAATTAGTAAACTGTGAACTAAATTCACGTACAATGCGTTTCCCTTATCGTCGCATCACAATGACTTTTCATTTATCGTCGCTTCCATCAATATGTTGAGATTTGTCACTCTCTCTCGTTATGGCGGGAAAAAAATAAAAAAAAGTGACCGGTTCCATTGGACTGGTCCAATCCTCGGTTCTCAAAATTGGGAACCGAGAACCAATCACCCATACTCCGTGCAATGGGTGTTCATGAACCAACTCAATCTAAACCTTCAAAGTTATGGATCTCATGCGAGTCCCCCATGATTAAAGATTAAATGAGCTGATGAACACCCGGCGCTGGCAAATCATGCTCAAAATTGAGAGGGTGAATCGTCCCCTTTGGCTATCCGTAAAAGTACACACGACCTCGTTTGGTTCCGTCAACCGGGAATCGTATATGGATTCTCATTTCGAATAATACCACTCCATAAAATTAGATTCTTTGTTAATTATTTGGAAATACCACTAAAAACCTAAATTTGCTCTTTGTGACAATAGTACCCCAAACTATTTCTCGTGTCATCAAAACGCCCAAACTTGCACTAGTGACCCAAAAATATCTTCCATCACAGACTTCACAGTTCCATCTAAGATGGGCAACAAAAATTCGACGTGCCTGCTTGCACGAATGAGGGCAAGCAAACGAAGCTGACATGGTTATAACTTAGTTGGGAAAATCCCACCACAAGTCTATACTTTATTCAATATAGCACCAATTTCCCAAACTTTTTTTTTTCGTATCATGAATGTCTTAAACTTTTATAGTTTCATCCAAGATAACTGCTAATAATCCGACGTGATGGCTTGTGTGGACAACGGTAGGCTAACGAAGATGACGTGACTTTAGCTAGTCCAAAGCAACGTTATTCCATGGATCGACAAATATGTGTAGGTACCAAAGAAGAAATGAATTTGTGTTATCTTGTTGGTACTCAATCCAATGAAGTTAAAATAATGCAAGTGGTACATTGATAGTGGATATTCGAGACACATGATGGGAGATTCATCGAAGTTTTTGGCTCTTACACGAGTTGATGGTGGATATGTGATCTGTGGTGGAATGGACAAAGGAATGATGATTTAGCAAAGGAAATATCAAGGTTCGAACCCTCGTCATCAAAGATGTATACTTAGTCAAATCCTCAAATCACAAGCTGTTGAGCATTAGTCAACTTTGTGATAAGGAGGGCTACATGATCAGTTTTGAAGAAGAAGAATGCATTTGGCTTAGACAAAAATCAGAAATAAAAGCTCATCGAGGAAAGGTATAGTAACATATATTTCCTTGATGTAGAAAAAACAAACCTTCAACAGGAGCACTGGTTTGTTTCTATAAAAGATAAAAGCAAAATTTAGGCATAATAAACTTGGACACATGAGACTCAAGCAAATATAAAAGCTATCCAAGAAAGATATAGTGCGAGGATGACTTAAGATCATCTTTGAAAAGATTGAAATATACGAAACTTGCACTTTGGGTAAGTAAATCTAAAGTTCTTTCAAGTCAAAGAATGTTGGTTCTACCGATAGAGTTCTGTAGCTTCTACATATCTATCTATTTTGACGAATAAGAACAAGAAGTAAGAGTTCTTAACTTGAGATATATTGCTTGGTGATTATGGATAATTACACGAGGTTTACTTTGGTAGTATTTCTTACTCATAAACATGAAGCATTGCATTCATTTACAAAATTTGCAAATTGAGTTTAAAATGAAAAAGTTATGGCGTTACTTCTATTCGAACCAATAGTAGAAAAGAGCTTGAAAATCACGAGTTTTCACCATTTTGTGTTGGAAATCGATTTAAGCTTAACTTATCTCCTCCTTACACTCCACAACAAAAATGGAGTTGTAGAGAGAAGCAATCATTCAATAGAAGACATGTGGTCCACAATACTTGCTAAAATTCATGCTGCTACATACTTTTGGGTAGAAGCACTTAGTATTGCATGGTATATTAATAGAATGCATCTTAGACCATTAATAGAGAAAAGCCCCTATGAGTGTTACGATGGCAAGAAGCCAAACATTGCATACTTTCATATCTTTGGTCGCAATTGTTGTCCCTTAAAAATGTGATCGAAAATGTTGGTAAATTAGATCCCAGACTGAATGAATCAATATTCTTACCATCTGGCAAATTCTATTGTGTGTATTACAAGAAAACATAAGAGGTAGAGTAATACATTCACGTAAAGTTTGACAATCTTCAAAGAAGTATAGACTATGTAGTAGAAGGGGAACAAACTCCATTCTGTGGAACCAAAGAATTTGAAAGAAGACCCAACTACTAAGTCCATATCTTTTCCAAAGGACTGAAAATTCTGTTGGGGTGTGGTCCATACTCCCTTTTAATAGAAAGGCATGAGAGTCCCACTCTCCGGAGAGTGGGTAGGGGTCAGGGGCAACGCCCCAAGCCGCTAGAGGGCTTTTATAGTTTGAGCTTGAAAAAGAAAAGTTTCCTATTTTGAATAGATTTTCTAATTGCATGGTTTCCTAATTGGTGTGGGTTTCCTATATTGAATCAAATTATTGCTTCTATATATTATCTTTCTCTTATAATTGAGAGATGTAACAAAGATGTGTGAGTTGTTGATTATAGTGGAATCCCAAGTTAGACATAGCGCTGGTTTTAAAGGTGAACCAGGACAAAATCTTGTGTCTCAAATTCTCTTTCTCGCTTTTACTCTCATCTAATATCAGAGCCAATGGTCTGTTCCGGTGTTTGGTGGGTGAAGTTGGGCGTAATTTCCGGATAGTGGGTATTGTGGTGTAACAATGTAGGCCCAATAGTAGACTTCATAATTCGGCCCGGAGAAAGACTTCATATCCTTGATGCAGAAGCATACCTGAATTAAGGGGGAGCTCACACATGAGGGAGAGATTATTAGGATGAACGTATGAATTGTATTAAAAAAATCCCACATCGAAGAATTGGTGTAGTGTAAAGTAGTTAATATATCCTAATTGTCTCATAACTCATTGGTTTAAGCTTTTGAGTAAAGGTGGGTCCATTTGGATATGTTAACAGGCTCACACTTAGGTTCCCTCTTAGTGATCTCCCCAGCAAAAGGTATTAGGCTAAAAACCAGATTTTCGTTTAAGGCGTCGTTTATTTCGAAGAAAATATATGGTTTGAAAAACATTTTCCTAAAAATGATCCTTGTATCGCTTATAAAAATGAATATACGAAAAATATTTTCATCGTCAACAAAAATGTTTAGAGATAACTTATTGTCAATAATGAAAACATTTTCCATTGACTATCTATTTTAAGGGATATAAGCAATCATTTTAGAAAAATATTATTCAAATCATTTATTTTCTCCAAAACAAACAGAGCCTAAGTAAATGATTAATTTGCTAGCACTTCTATCCAAGGTAGAACCAAAAATTGTAGAAGAAGCGCTACGAGATGAAAATCGGTTAAAATCAATATAAGAAAAACTTAATCAATTCAAGGTCGACAAAGTTAGGGAGTCAGTTCCACAACCCAAAAGCAAAGTGGTTCTATAGAAATAAACCTGATGATAAATGTAATGTGGTAAGAAACAAAGCTAGAAGGGTATTCACAAGAAGAAGATATGAATTATAATGAACTTATGCCTCTGTTGCTAGATTGGAAGCTCTACATTTATTGCTTGGATATGCATGTTTTCACCATTTCAAACTTTATCAAATGGATGTAAGAAGTACTTTTTGCAATGGTTATATCAAAGAAAAAGTGTTTTTAGAATAGCCCCTTAGGTTTTGGGAAACGAAGGAAATAAGATTATTATGTCAACAAACCCTAAAATGCTCTACATAGACCAAAGCAAACTGTAAGAGCTTGGTATGAAAGGTTGTTTCCTTATTGAGAAAGGATTGAAAAAGGTAAGGTAGACACAACGAAAGTAGAGATATCTTATTTGTTCAAATCTATACCGGTGAGATCATGTATTGTTCTACTAATGACTATATGTGCAAAAGTTTAGTTGAAATTATGCAAAATGAGTTTGAAATGAGCATGATAGATGAACTAAACTTTTTTCCTCGGACTCCAAGTAAAACAAACAAAAAGTGGCATATTTGTACATCAAGAGAAAGATGCAAGGGAATTTGGTCAAGAAGTTTGGAATGAAGAATCCCAAGAGTAGAAACACTCATGGCTAATTCTACAATACTTGACAAAGATGAAAACGGAAAGAAAGTAGATCCTCAACTTTATAAAATCATGATAAAATCTCTATCATATCTCACTGCATTTAGAACAAAGATCTTGTTTAGTATTTTTATGTGTAGCGCATCATTGAATATATTTCAACTTTTATGAAATTTTGCTTGTGCCACCCTAAGTACTCGAATTTTCTTTTATTAGGATGTTCTGATGCTGACATTGTTGATTGTAAGATTTATAGGAAAAACACATGGGGGTACTTGTCAAATAATGAGATGGTTGCTTGTGTCTTAATTTTTGAAGAAGCAAAACTCGGTTGCCCTGTCTAAGGCAAAAGCTCACTAGAGAAAGTTGTGCACAGTTTCTGTGCATGAGACAACTATAGAACGATTTTAGAGCAAAAAGCACAAATATTTACATCATGTGTGACAATACTAGTGAGATTAATTTGACAAGAATTCTTGTACTACATTCTAAAGCCAAGCAAATAGACATATGACATTAATGTATACGCGTCATGCTACATTTTATTGATTCAAAACATTAATTAGTTGATATAGTCACTAAGCCTCTTGATAAAGTATGTTTCGAATTATCCGAATTGAGCTAGGCAATTGCAATCCATTTGATTATAATTATTGTATGGAAGCACGTGAATCTACAGAAGTAGGTGGCGCTCGATTTTACGCAAATAAGACAAAAAGTACGAGTAAGCATGTGAAAGTTAATTTTTGCGAATTTTTTACTCTTATGGATCACATCACGTCTGATTAAGACTTTTTGCATATTACATTTTCTTTCAATGCCTTGAAAGTTTTTTCTTTTCAAAATTTCAAAGTTTAATTTTTTTTTTGGAGAAAAAGTCGCAAAAAATCTCAAATTATGCTTATTGTAACATATTTACCTGGACTTTTATTTCGTGAGATCAAAAATCCCAAACTATGTCCACTGAGACATATTTATTCTAGATTTTTTCTTGGAACATAAAACACCCCAAAATTGTACCATGTGACACATTTACTCTCCGTTAAATTTCCATTAGATAATTTTTCAGCCAAAACAACGTCGTTTTTATTTCACTTAAGCAAGATATGTCCGCACGGTTTGCTTTCTCGCATACATGTAGGCAGATTTATATTGGTTCATAATGACAGAATTTTGACGAAGGGTAAATGGGCAAAAGTACACTATAAGTGCCATAACTTGTGTACGGCGATCACTTTGGTGCCATAACTTTTTTTCAGATCACTTTGGTGTCAAGTCGGAGGAAAATAGATCACTTTTGTGACTCCGGCCAAAATTCCGGCCAAAAAGCTGACCTGGCATTTTTATTTAAAAAAAGAGTGTGACGTGGATATTGGGGTCAACATTTGATGTCCACGTGGACGAGCAAAACGACGTCGCTCAGTCCACTTGGACAAGAAGGACGACGTCGTTCCATTTAGGACAGCAAACGACGTCGCTCAGTTCAAAGGTCTTAGCATCGCGTCGCTCGTCACACCTGCTCTGTCTCCCTCGTCCAGTCACCGTCGCCTGTCGCTCGTCGCTCGTGGCACCCTCATTTCGTCGCCATCGTCGTCACCGTCGCCATCGCCGTCTCTTGCCTTCCCCTCGCGGTCGGTCGGCATCGCTCCCTCATCCCGTGGACTGATCATCACTCGTCCCGTCGGCGTCGGTCCCGTCTCCGTGGCAAATTATGAAGGTCGGTCTTCAAATAAGGGCTGTTAATTTTTATTTTGCTGAATTGATCGACACATTGTGCTTCATTATCCTATGTTTCACTCAATTAATTGGTAGATTAGGGCTGCCTTCGGGAAATTAGGGTTTGAAGTAGGAAATTAGGGCTCGAACTTGGGAAATTGGGGCTCAAACTTGAAATTAGGTCTTGAACTTCTGAAATTAAAGCTTGAACTTCATAAATTATGGCTAGTTGTTCGGATATTAGGGCTTGAAGTGGATTCGATTGTGTTGGTGCCGGACTAAGTATATGCGATAGATTGTGGTCCATGTGGGGACCTCTGTCATTGTCACCCATGTGGTCTGATGGTGGCTTTTTCAATCTTGTCGATCATGTTGGGGACCTTCATGTGAAGTTGTGCTCTTTTTCCTATGTGGTGTGGTCCCGAAAGCTAAAATATTGAATTTTTTGGCTTTTTTCCTTCAATGGAGGGTCGATATGGGGGATAAAGACGCAATTATCGGCATCATTGTTCACTATGGAGGAGAATTTGTCATCGGCACTAACGAGTGGGAATACTTTGGGGGACTTGAAGGTACTGTTTATTTCGATAGAAACAAGCCAGCATATATTAATCTCATGAGGGATATAGTTCAACAATTAAGATGTAAAATAGGAAGTTTGCATTATTGTGTAACTGGAAGCAGCTTGAAGGACGATATTAGAAACTTTGATGATGATAATGGTGTTAAGGATATCATCTACCATTATCTTCATGGAAAAGAAGCTGTTGTGTACGTTGAGTCCTATAGTGATGGTGAATCTGATGAAGGGGCTGAGGGAGGAGACGTAGGTGATGGTGCTGCTTTACCTAGTACTCAGATTGGTGCTAGTTCTATTATAGATGAAGCTGGACATGAGAGGGATGAGAGGGAGGCAAGCCATGTAGCAAGTGAAGAGTTCACTGGATTTGAGTTCACTGGATTGTCGTGGGAAGTTGCTGCATCTAGTGAATCAGATGATGAGGGTGTGACAAATGTAAATTTACCAAGTGAAGATGACGATGAGGAACTTGCACAGTCAAGGCAAAAGCAAAGGGAATTTGGAAAAAAATCAATAGCTGCACTTGGAAGATTGCATGAAGCTGAACCAGGACATAGCATTGATGGAGCTCCAGCTAAAGGTAATGACACTGATTAAGAAGAAAGTGGCTCTGATGAACAGAATGATAATTCTGAAAATCAGCATGAATATGATGATCCCGTTGTGCGCCGAAGGAAACGTAAGTATCCGTTATATGATCCTGGCTCTTCTTCTTCTGTGTTGACTGTAGGTCTGAAATTTCCTGATGCCAAACAATTCAAAGAAGGGATTATCAAGTATTCAATAGCTGAACAGAGTACTCTTCAGTTCACTCGAAATACGCAGGACTATATTAGAGCAAAGTGTTCTCAACCTAGTTGTTCGTGGAAGATATATGGTGTACGTTCAAAGAGGGACGGGTCATTCCAAATTAGGTCATTACAGGAGGAACATACTTGTTCCATCATGTTTGACAATAAAAGGGTAACGAGTGCTTGGTTGTCGAAGCACTTCTTCGATACCATCAAAGCGATGCCTGATATGAAGAGTGCTCAGCTGAAGCAGTTGGTGAGGGAGCAGGTAGGGATTAACGTGTCACTCAATCAGTGTAAAAGAGCCAAGTATAAGGTGATGAAAAAAATTCTAGATAGGTATAAGGAAGAATATGGTTAAATTTGGGAATATGCTGGAGAATGTAGGCTGCAAAACCTGGGTAGTCGAGTTTATGTTGAGGTTGTGGAGCGGCCACTGCCTAACCATGGGACTAACTTTGACCGAATTTATATTTGCTTTGATGCATGCAAGCGGGGATTTGTTGCTGGTTGTAGATGAGTCATAGGGTTAGATGGATGTTTCTTGAAGGGTGTGTGCAAGGGAGAATTGTTGGCTGCCATTGGGAAGGATGGCAATAATCAGATGTTTCCAATTGCTTGGGCTGTTGTGAAGGTAGAGAGCAAGGACACTTGGTCGTGGTTCCTGAAAAATTTGATGGCGGACCTTCAAATCACTAATGGAGGAGGTTGGGCATTCATGAGCGACCAACAAAAGGTAATGCTGGTACAACTGCACAAACAATATTTATGACATTTTATCTTGCACATGCATTTATTAATGCCTTGATGTATGAATTCTTGTAGGGACTTCTTCCTGCTCTAGCTGAGTTGATGCCATTTGCTGAACATAGGATGTGTGCAAGGCACCTATATGCAAACTGGGCAAAGATCTACAAAGGGGAGAAACTACAGAAGCAATTTTGGATGATAGCTAAGAGCACCAACATGGCTGATTTTAGAATTCACAAACAGCAACTGCTTGACTTGACGAAGGACGGTTATGAAGCACTTTTTCAAACTGAACCCAGGCATTGGTGCAAGGCCTTCTTCAGTGAAGAATTCAAGAGCGATATCATTGATAACAATCTCAGTGAAGCCTTCAATGGCAGAATTTTAGAGGCGAGGTGCAAACCAATCATCAGCATGCTTGAGGATATTCGAGTGATAGTCATGACAAGGCTGCAAAAACAGAGAGATGAGGCTGCGAAGTGGACTGGACAGTGTAGTTCTAGGATTGCTAAAAGATTGGATGACAACTTGGCGAGTAGTAGGTTCTGTCATCCTATCTGGAATGGAGATGATGGCTATGAGGTCATGGAAAAGATAGACAAGTATGTTGTCCAATTGGACAAACTAAAGTGCTCATGTTGAGCTTGGCAACTTTCTAGAATTCCCTACGCACATGCCATTTGTGCCATCCAAGCGAAGTACCAAAATCCCAAGGATTACCTGCATGGTTGCTAACACAAAAGCACATATCTTGCTGCGTACCAGCACATGATGCAGCCTATTAGAAGTTCAAAATTCTGGGAGCCGACAAATCATGAAGCCCCTCATCCTTTGCCACTTAAGAAACAAATGGGAAGGCCTAAAAGGAGATGAAGAAAGCAGGAGGGAGAGCCCAGAAGTAAGAAGATGAGCAGGTCAGGTGTAGAGATAAAATGCTCATATTGTCGTGAGGTAGGTCACAATAAAAGTGGTTGTCATTTGAAGAAGCAACATCAGTTGCTTCAACAGCCAAGTGGAGGGACTCAAATTGGATCAAGTGCAGCGCTAGCACAAGAACCAGCTGAAGGGGCTGCTGAAAGGCCTGCTGGAGGGCCAGCTGATAGGCATGCTGATTGTCTAGCTGAAGGGCCTGCTGAAGGCCAAGTTCAAGAACCAGCTGAAGAGCCAACCGGAGGCCCAGGTTCAAGGGCAACCTCCTCCTCGACTGTTGCACAGGCTAGGAGAAAATATCCAGTAAGCTATATGTATTTGTATTAATCTTTAGTAAGCAGACTTTGGCTTTAGTTGACATTATTTTGTTCTTATCAGTTGAGAAGAAAATCAACTGAACAAGCAGCTCAGGTTCCTCAAAGTGAGGCACCATATCAAACAAGAGGGGTCCTCGGCAGAAGATTAAGGCAATATGGTTATGGAATTTATACGGACTTCAATACTGGAATGACTATTTTGCATGTAAGTTTTGTACATCTCATGCATTTCATTTTTGAGTAAGTTTTGTACATCTCATGCATTTCATTTTTGAGTTTTTCACTTTTATGACAATATTGCTTCTTCTCATCCATGATTATGTTGTAGCCTGGGAGGAGTTCAGAGGTTCTCATATCTCAAGTTGGCCTAAGCCAAGAGTCAAGAGCTGCGCCAAAAAGAATCCAACCAACGTCGCAAGCAGCTGGTCCAAAGAGAAGAAGGGTGGCTGCAGAGAAGAGTGTTCGTAAACTGCCACCAACGAAAAACTCAACACTAGTTCCTGATCAACCAGCACATGCTGACAGCTCCAAAACAGCCACCAACACCAGTAAGAAGAAGATAGTTGCTACGCCTAAGAAGAAATCTCGAGCAAGAGGGCCAGTAGAACAACCTGCTGGTCCAGCAGTTGAAAAAGATGCAGCTGGAGCAGTTCAAGAAGAAGCAACTCTAGCTGTTGAAGAAGATGCAGCTCAAGCAATTCAAGAAGAAGCAGCTCCAGCTATTGAAGAACCTGCATCTTCAGAAGAACAACATGCAGTTCCTCCGGTTCGAAAAAGTCAAAGAATTATGAATCAATTCAAGAAGCCGTCGAAAGGAAAAGGAAATGGTGGACTTATCACTATTGACTAATGGGATGGTGTTGAGGCGATTGTTAGTTTTTGTGAAATTAGGGAGGTTTACCGTATTGGCTAATAGGAGGTTGATTTTTTGTGGTCTTGGAATGTTATTGACTAATGGGATATTGTGTGTAATGACTAAATTCGATGTTTACCGTGGTTAAGGTGGTTGTGATTTCCATAATATCTTTGCACACGTGTTTGTTCTATTTTAGTATAGTACTGGTGTAGTGGGGTGCTTGCAAGTTGCATCAGTAAGTTAATATTCAAAGAAACTTACTGATGTAGTTGGTGGGGAGGGTGGGAATTGGTGCTGCTAGTGATGGTTTTTTGTGCTATTTTCAAGTGCAATATGGTGCTTGCACCACCTGCTGATTTTGTGCTGTTTGGGAGTGCAGTATGGTGTTTGCACTAGCTGCTGATTTTGTACTATTTGGGAGTATAGTATGGTTACTATTTGGGAGTATAGTATGGTAGCTGCTGATTTTGTCATATTTGGGAGTGCAGTATAGTGCTTGCACCAGCATGCCAGCACGTGCTAGTGCAAGCATTTTGAATCGGTTTTTGAATATGGTTTGGGGGTTGTTTGGTGCTGGTGATTGGATATGGTTTGGGTGCTGTTTGAACCAGTTTATGAGTATGGTTTGGGGCGGTTTGGTGCTGGTGAGCAGTGCCGGTACAGTTACTGCTTTGATTCTGGAATGATCTGGTTTAAAGATTGGTTTGTTGGAATCAAAGTCTCCATTTTTCAAAGAAACACACGGCATGACACTTAAGTGATCAACTTTCAGCCACAATTGGCACTTAAGTGATCACTTTTGAACCACGACTAGAACTTAAGTGATCACTTTTGAACCACGACTGGCACTTAAGTGATCACTTTTGAACCACGACTAGAACTTAAGTGATCACTTTTGAACCACGACTAGCACTTAAGTGATCACGATTACAAACATTTTGCACTAAAATGTCAACTGCTGAACTTGTGACGACTTCATAATTTGCTGCTACGCAGAGTTGCAGCACTTGCAACACCTCATTTTTTAGTAGTGAGCCTTACTCCATAATATGCAACCATCTAACCAGATGAAAAAAATACAACAAATTAGCAAGTGAATATGCAGCAAATGAGTAAGTGCAGCAAATGAGCAAAAATATGCTGCAAATGAGGAAGTGCAGCAAATGACAGCAAATGAGCAAAAATATGCTGCCAATGAGGAAGTGCAGCAATGATAGCAAATGAGCAAAAATATGCAGTAAAATATGCCGCAAATGAGGAAGAGCAGCAAAAGACAGCAAATGAGCAAAAATATGCAACAAAATATGCTGCCAATGAGGCAAAACTGCATCAAAATATGCAACAACAAAATACTAAGCAACTCAACATTGAGAACCAATAAATTCCAACCTTCCATTTGTCATAGATTGCGACAAACCTCTTGTTACATACATAAATTGCAGCAAACTAATAACACAACCGTAGCTACAAATTGCCAAATACACATACATAGTACAAGCCTATCTTAAATTATGGTAGACTAAGAAACTTTTGCTCATAACTGACATTACATTTGACCATAAAATAGGCTATAAAAAATATCAATAACACAATCAACAATCGATAACACTTTCTTTCGATTTTCATCCTTCGAACTTCCTTCTTCAAATGGTTGGCCAGAGATGCTAAAGCCTTCATTTCAGCTTGCAATGAGTTGACATCATCCAACTCGTCCAACTCGTCCATTAATGCAGGTGGAGGTTGATGTCGAGCTTCAAGTAGCTTCACTATCATCTCTGTTGCTCGATCTGAAAATTTCGCATCAACCCACTTGAAGAATTTGCACTTCGAGCCTTCTCTATACCTGGCGCATCCATGGAATCTTCTCCTAGGGTTCAATCGAGTCCAAGATGTTCTTCTTGGACTCGGTAATCCACAATAGCAGAAGAACCGACCTTCTTCTTCACTTCGTTCAAACGAATTTGAACCGCTAGTGAAGCTCCTGCCATCCATTTGAAACCTTTGGCTGTCAATTTCGGGAAAAACAAGGAAATAATATGGCCGGTTAGGGTTTGCAATTGGGGAATATGTCCAATTAGCCGATTTAGGGTTCCTATATTGAGGGGAGAAAGGTTGAACGACGTCGTTTTCGCTATAAGGGCTGACGGGACTTTCCGGCCTGCTCCGGCCAGCCATCTCAGCATCGAATATTAATAAAAAAGAGCCACATCAAATTTCCGGCGTGCCATGTCAGCATTGGCACTCAAGTGATCGTTTTTCAAAAAAGTTGGCACCAAAGTGATCCGAAAAAAAGTTATGGCACCAAAGTGATCGCCGTACACAAGTTATGGCACTTATAGTGTACTTTTGCCAGGGTAAATGTATCACACAGGTATAAATTTGAGATTTTTTGTGTTACATAAAAAAGTTTATGATAAATATGTCACGGTGACTTTTTCCCTTTCCTTTTTAGTAAATTGGGAAGGGTTTTGAGTTTTAGAAACTTTAGAAATTTCCTTTCTTCCCTTACAAAACCACAAAACCTCCATATGGACATCTCCTATTTTCACGCCTAAGCCCACAATCCTTTAGCCCCCGATCAGTGGCCACTCAATTCTTTCCTTAAAACCTCAAAATCCAAACTTTCCTTCGTCGTGGCTCCAAAGATAGGAGCTTTTCGAAGTTTACCAAGGAACACGAAAATCAAGTAGAACTGCGTCCATACCCAAACCAAACATCATTCTAAAGAACCCAGCAATATTCATCTATCTCGCTACGAAAAACCATAACTCCGAGACAAAAATAGGATGAACTTCTCTTGTGAGTTGAAGCAAGAAGAATTCCCCGCCACACCGAGCAAAGCTGTGGGTTCTCCATCAACTGAATCTACTGAACTTTAGAACTCAAAAGCTTTTAGAATTGAGGGGAAAATTCCAAATAAAAGCCTGAAGAGGGTTCATTTTCTCAAAAAAGTATTCAAAATGAATCTTGTTTCAAATAAAGGCTTGAGATCACCAACCGGCCAAATGCACACCGACCAGCAAGCACTTGAGTTTTCCGACGACAAGGTTAGGGGCATTTTCGTCCATAGATATTTCTTTTTTGGGATAATGACACAAATACTTCCTCGCCCAATGTGCAATTTAATCCATGAACTTTTAATTTGTTTAATGTAGTCCTTGAACTTTAATCTATTGTTCAATATAGCCCATGAACTTTTAATTTATTCAATGTGGTCCCCGTACTTTTGGTAAATGCTCAATATAGTCCTTGAACTATATGAAAATATTCAATGTAGTCCCCAAACTTGAATTAATGGAAGGAATATATTGAAAATTTTCATATAATTCAGAGACTAAATTGAATACATGCCCAAATTTCGGGGATGACATTGAACAAATTAAAAGTTCAGGGACCACATTGTACATTGAGTTAAAGTTCAAGGATTGCATTGAATAAATTAAAAGTTCATGAACCACATTACATATTGAGTTAAAGTTCATGGATTGTTTGTGTCATTTTCTCATATTTCTTCTTTGTCCATGATCGTCCTCTTCGATGCACCAATAGCCCTCACCATCAATCGAGAATAAAGATGAACAGGATGAATAAACACCGAGAGACAGAGAACAATCAAAAAGCGAATGTTTCCGATCAATGGTATGGTGGGGAGCTCGAACTTAGGTAGGGGAGTTGTCTCTAAAAGAAATGTCCCTGTACGTGGTGGTGGGTCGAGGAAGAACAAGACCCCACCAAAAACAAAACAAAAAGGAATAACAAGAGACCATCATCTTCATCCGCATCTTCATGTGCAACTTCATAGGCATTTAGGTTGCGCATGGCAACCATTATGTACCCGGGAATAGATTCTACTCATAAATAATTCTTTTTTATTCCGTGTCCGGAAATAATTTCTAAGCATTTGAAGATATTTGGTAACTACCCAAAATTTATATTCTTAGAATAGAAAAAGAACAGAAATGCATTTGATAACTACACCAAATTTCATTTTATTAATAATATTTTGAATTTTTTAATATTTTTTTCTTTTTTTCCTTTTTTTTCTTTTTTTTTCCTTCCTTGGCCACGACCAGTTGTCGGTGCTGGCGATCGACCATAGGCCAGGGCCAGCGAGGGCGTCGCGACCCTTGCTGCCGACCTCGCCTGTCGCGACGGCGAGGTCGGTCTCGCCAGATCTGGGCGAGGTCGAGCCTCGCCCAGCCAAGGCGAGTCCTCGCCGTCGCGGCAGTGAGCCGCCCTAGCTCAGGCGGCGAGGGCCGCGACGCCCTCGCCGGCCTTGGCTTGTGGCCCGTCGCCGGCGGCCGGCGGGTGGCAAGCGGTAGGCCGAAAAACAACAACAAACCAAAAAAAAGAAGAAAATCAAGAAGAATCAGAAATGGAAAAATTGTTTCAGAATCAAGAAGCTACTTTTTTTTGCTTCTTGATTTTGTTTGAAAACTGATTCTAGGAACAATTTTTTGCAAAATTGTGCCCGGGCACAAAAAATTTAACAAACGGATTTCTGCTCCCAAACTGATTCTGGGAACAAAAGAACAGAAATTTTTACTATTTGACACGTTGCCAAATGGCCCCTTAAACCCAAAAAAAAAATCATTTCATCCTCATTTTTAAAGAACAAGATTATTTCTAATCTGACCCCATCACCTCAGCTATCCTTCACTCTGACCCTCAAAACTCTAATAATAAGCCCCATGAAAGATCTACCGAAGGAACAAGCTCCATGAAGCTTCTGAAGAGTGGTGGGACTTGTCCAAGTGGTTTGAGCCTGAGTAGTTCAATGGCACTTGCCGGCAAGGTCGGAACGGTGGTGGTGCACACCCCGAGCATCTTTGAATTTCTATTTTTTCTTTTGTAGTTTCGCTTTTTTCTTTTTAATCTTTATTCCGATTTTATTTGGAACAAAATGCCCCTCAACTCTGGCAGCCGGAAAAGTCGAGTGCTTGCTACTTTCGGCCCTCTTTTGAGAAAGTGAGTCCACTTTAGGCTTTTATACGGAATTTTCCCAAGATGTTGAAACCCCCCCTCTGCGGAACTCGGAAGTGAAACACCTGTTTCTGTAGAACCAGCAGCCGAAGTCCTTGCTTCTATTGAAACTACCGTTGAAACTCTTGTTTCTTGTAGAAGTTAATGTTGCTGAAGAATCTTAGGCAGTAAGGGTTGCAGAAACCATAGAAGGGCTCGAGAAAATCATCAAAGAAAAGGCCACGGAGCACATGGTAGAAGAAAGTGAATGACAAGGAGCAAGAATCTGAACCCCAAGAAGTGGTAGGGACTGTAGAAGGAGAAATGGTTGAAGTAGCAGATGGAAAGGCGGATAGTGAAAAAGAAAAGAAAAAGGGCGAAGGTAAGAAGGATGATGATAATGAAAGAATTTCCTTAAATTTTGAACCTGCCGTATGTCTTCCTAATGCTAAGTAATGACATAACTTATGCGGATTTTCAGATCTTACAATGTCATGGCATTTTCATCTCTTAGCTATCTGAAAAAGAAGATAATTGTTTAGTTACTGAGGATGTTTTCCCAAAGGTTAACACTCTATTTTACTCAACTTATCCTTCAAAAGTCATGATGATAAGTTAGTCTTCGTTATTAGTCATCAAAACCGTTCTCTGTTTCTATAGAAGAACTCGATGCTATGCTTAGTCTGCTTTTCTTTCAAACAATTCCTGCTAAATCTTCCTTGGCTTACAAGTTCATCATTTAGGATGAATTCTTTTGAACGAGGTCTCATTCCTAGTTTCCTTTAAGAAGGAAGTCTAAAGCCTTATAGTGTGTCAAACTGCTCTAGAAATGATATTTCCAAGTATGAAGCAAGACTTTTGACCCAAAAAAAAAAAAGGAACGAAACAAGGCTCATTTCGCACCTATCCTAACCAGTTTTGAATTCAGTCTTTCACATTCCATTTTCATTCACATGTACCGGACAATGGTTAGAAATCAGGAAAGCTTCCCTACGGTGGTCTGAGCATGAAAATTCTCAGAAAACAGTGAGCGGTAATTCCAGAGGAGCTACAGACGGAAAAAGTGCCCATTGCCTCTGTAGGCAAGAAACATCGAGGAAGATGCACCTCAAGCCCACAACTGTTGGGTGGGTTGATCCTAAGGGGGAGACTGTGAGAGTGGAAGGAGAAGATGAGAGGGTGAATGCTGCTTGAAGAGAAGATGAATGGAACCGAGGGCAATTTGAGTAAGAAGAGAAAGTAGAAGCAAGCAAAGAATGCTGCAGAAGCACCTATGGTGCTGCGAAAGGGTAAGAGAAAGGGAGAAACAGTGGAGGTTGCTCCATCTCCAGCGAAAAAGAGGCCAAAGAGTCAGGGTGAGTCAAGTCAGAATGTTGAAAACTCTGGGAGGCTTGAGTTATTAATGTAACGGTGTTAGATGGTCTAAAGAGTTGCAGGAGAATGCAATAGCTTTTGAGAGACAGCTAAAGCTGTTCAGAAGGTAGACTTTCTACAGAAGATGGCGTGTGACTAACAGATTCAGTCTCTTTCGTGCTTTGATGTGACCAAGTTTACCTTCAGCAAACCCATCTCCAAACCTCCCTAAACCTTGCTTGAAAAAGGAAGAAAACATGATACTTTTGAAATGAGAAAGCTTATGTGTTTGTCTTTGACTCTATCAGTTTCTGTTTCCTTTGTCTTTAGTCGTAGAACAATCGGGATCAACAAACTGTTGTGAATTGGGTGTTTTTACTCATTTCAATGTAGCTGTATGTTCTATCCTGACTCCTCTTGGTTATTCAACAAACTACATGTTTGTTGCCTATTAGCATATACCTTGTGAATTACATCGTTTACATCATTACACTCTCATCTGTTGCATCCACGGAAGTAGTCAAATCTGCAGATGTAGGCATTGAGTCTGCAGAAGCACCAAGGAACAAGTGCAGGACCACGTCGAAACTGCAAAAATGGGGTAATCCGTGTCGAATCTCGTGCTCGCCGACAACATCCAGAAAACGGATGTGCTTAAAACTTTATAGGTTCTTTATGCTCTAACTTGTTTAGTTTACGTAATTATGCGTCGCTTCTCATAATTGAGCTTCATGTAAATTAAATAACATTGTAGAAGAAAGAGCTGTTACAAATTTATGTATCTTTTGCAAAATTCTTCTTCGAGTGGATAATATCTCTTGCTACATTCATTGAAAATCTTACACTTTTGGAGATTATAACATCTACATATTGTGCCTTTTGATCTGAACCAATGTTCTTTTGGCATAATAGTAAACCCATTTACTTTACACTCGCTCAAATTTCAAAATGTTCATGCCTGTGAACAGATCTGCACAATGGAAGGTTTTATAAATAAGGGAAATCATTGAGAAAATCACTTATGATGTTTTTAAGATGACAAAATATTGAAAAGCTACTAATGTGTGTATTTGAGTGTGCGGGACAAACAACTTCTATATATACAAACCAGATACAGACAGTGTTAACAACATGACATTTAAAAGCACGGAATAACTTTGGCTCTGCAAAAGGAGAATAAGCAATTGGTCGGGAATCTTATCAAAGTCTAGAACTAGAAGGACCTTTGTAGATAGAGAACAAGCCGTAGAACGAGAATCCTTCATTCTTGGATGGACTAATAAAATGGGGGACAGTCGACAGATTATAACGAAGTCAATTTGTTTGGAAGAACCATCTTGCAGAAGGTGAATGTACCGTACGCCGAGATACTATGAAAAGCATGGAAGGATCATGTTTTACAAAAAGCAGTATATACTATAGATAAAGTGAATGGTTCTACATAAGGGCGTCTACGATCCTTGTGGGAAGACTCAGTTCTTTATCGATTTGAATTGGACTTAAGCTGGTATTTTACAACTCTCTTCAAGTGCTGGAATATGCCAAAAACAATCTAGATTAAATCAGACCCGCTTTGCTGATATCAGGCAGACTGCAAAAGCAAAATGTTCAACTTTGGGAAATTGTCCTTAATACTTTGCACTACGACGTGCCGCCTATCAAAGAGGGGTGCGCCGACGGATACTAGACTCTGTTGGATATATTATTAATATAATCCAAATAATATGTTCACATACAAACCCAATAGGTTTAAATAATGGTCATTTTGGACCCATATGGCTGGAGCCCAATAGCTTACATATAAACTCTAGGATTTACCTACGCTGGAGGTAACACTGTTGAGCGTTCCAAACTTGACGTCTCTTGGTGTAATACTTCAAGCAAAACACTATCTACTCTCTCAAACCCATAACCTTCAATAATCTTGAAGTATTATATTCGTGTGTTGGATTTGAGTAAGAAAGGTGTCTACTTGAAGATCTCGTCGAGACGAACTCGCGGGTATTATATATTTTCGATTTCGACGGTGGGATCGGCCGAAATCTTTGATTCAAGAACCCAGAAATTATAGCCAATTTGAGAGGGGTGAAACCATTTGGGTCTTGTTCTACTCGTCGATACGAGCGTTTTGAGTGGTCACTCGCATTGAACGGAGGCCGGACGGCTGAGATACGACAACCGGAAGTCCGGCGATTTTTCGACTTCCAGCGAATTTCCGGCGACTTCTCGGCTTCCAGCAACAAGAGCAGTCCATCTTAAGGTTTTTTGGCACTCCGGATTTGTTTTTGGGGTCTGTTTTGGCAAACTCCACCTCTACAAAGCGGTTTGACCAAGGTTAGGAGCTTTATTCGACTTTGTGAGCTCCGAGAACTTCAAGGTGCACTCTTTCTACGTCTTTGCTTTGATTAAAATGGCAAAACATAGTTCCTATGATATTATCAAGCTGCAACCATTTGATGTCATTGAATTTCATGGTTAGAAATTGCATGTTCAATTCGGCATGAAAGAATGTGAAATATTCTACACTGTACTGAGTGATTTTGTATCTACCACTGAAGATGTTGATGAATATCAATGGAACAAAGATGAAGATTTTTGTAGAGATTACTTGTTGACCTCTTTAAATCCTCGTCTAGCTATGACTTATAGTGAGTTTAAGATAGCAAAAGAGATATGGGATCACTTGAATGCTCAGTTCCAAAAACAAGAGGGGCTCTCTAAAACTCTTCTAGCGGAGAAGTTCTTTGACTTTAAATTCAATATGAAATCGACTATCACCTCTCAATTAATTGAACTTGAGAACATGAGGAACAAGTTGAAAGAGGATAACTCTGATATGTCCGATAATCTCTTTGTTGGTCTTGTGTTGAGTAAGCTACCTGCTGAATGGAGTTCTTTCAAGACTGAAATGCACAGACAGAAAGAACATATGAGACTGGATGAATTAAAGAGGTATATTCACATTGAAGATCAAAACATATCTAGGAAGAGTTTGGAACAAGAAGGACAACAAAAGTCAGTTGCCAACTTAGTTTCACATTCCAATAAACCTCATAAAAGGTTCAAGTCATCAAAAGGTGAATCCTCTTCACAGTTAGAGGCCAAAAAGACTATCTTCAAAAGGAAGAAGAAGGGCAAGTGCCATAACTATGGAAAGTGGGGTTATTGGGCAGCAGAGTGTAAGCTACAAAAGAAGCCAAAGAATGACACACCACAAACTGCGACTAATATGTTAATTAGTAAATCTGAGCCTCAAGCCTTCATTGGAATGATGAAGAATGGAAAGGCCAGCGTCTCCTCTGAGTGGTGGTTAGATAGTGGCGCTACTTGTCATGCTACAAATGACAAGAACTCACTCACTGAGGTCATAGAAGTGAAAGACACCGTAGAAAATTGTAATGGTGGTGAGGCAGAGGTGACTCATGCTGGAACTGCAAATTTGGTGCTTTCTTCAGGTAAATTACTAACTCTGAAACATGTTAAAGTAGTACCTTTACTTAAAAAGAATTTGATATCTATGAGTTTACTTGATAAAGCTGGTATGTCCTTTTCAACTATGAATGGTAGAGTAACTTTATCTGTTAACTCGTGTTATTTCGGTTGTGCATTCATGGTTAATGGTATGTATAGGTTGAGTTTAGATACTGATAGCATCAACCATATGAATTCTACTTTGATTGATCCAAAGTTATTACACAATAGACTTGGACATGTGAATTACAGGAAAATGCAACATCTAGCTAAAACTCACAACATTCCATTGGATACTTCTATTCGATTTGACAAATGTAAAGTGTGTGCACAGGCTAAGATCACTAGAAAACCTTTTAAGTCGGTTTCTAAAAGCACACAACTTCTTGAGCTAATATATTCTGACCTTTGTGACTTCAGAAATTACGTTACTAGAGGTGGTCAGAAGTATCTACTAACATTCATAGACGATTTTTCTCGATATTGTCATGTTTATTTGTTGAAATCGAAAGATGAGGTTTTTGAAAAGTTTAAGATTTTCAAGTCTAGAGTAGAAAATCAACTCTTGAAAATTAAGAGGTTTAGAAGTGATAGAGGAGGAGAATATACAATGACAGGGTTTAAGGACTTTTGTGCTACAAAGGGCATAATACTTGAAACCACTGCTCCTTAATCACCCCAATCAAATGGTGTTACCGAGCGTAAGAATAGAACGTTAACTGAAATGTTAAATTCCATGTTACTTACAGCTAGCATGCCTTCCTCCTATTGTGGAGAAGCAGTTCTAACTGCTAATCACATCCTAAACAGCTTGCCGCACTCTAAGTTGTCTATGACACCTTATGAGATATGGCATAAGTGTCCTTGTAGATATGATACTCTTAAGACTTGGGGCTGTGTTGCTTATGTAAGAATACAAGATCCTAAAAGACCTAAAGTGGGACCTAGAACCATTACTTGTGTATATCTAGGTTGTGCGGAAGATAGTGCTGCAAATAAATTTTTAGATCTATCTACTAATACAGTGATAGAAACTAAAGATGCAGAATTTTTGGAGAACAAGTTTCTCAGAGATCATGGCTTGAATGTTTCTGGATCTACAGATATGATTTCAGAGTCTCCTGTAGAATTTGAAGCAAGCTCTTCTGACACTAATTCCCCACAGCTGACTGTTGAACGAGTTCCAGTTAGAGTATCTACAAGAGATAGAGTTCCCAAAAGTTTTTGTGAGGACTTTGTTACTTACCATCTAGAGGATGATCCATTCTCCTATCATGAAGCAATGAGATTTAGAGAATCCCTACTGTGGGCAGAAGCCATAGATGATGAAATGAGCTCTCTGCCGTAGAACCACACTTGGCAGCTAGTCCATTTACCAAAAGGGGCTAAGGCTATAGGCTGTAAGTGGGTATTGAAGAAGAAACTGAATAGTGATAGATCAATAGCCAGATACAAAGCACGTTTAGTAGCTAAAGGCTATAAACAGCTGAGTGGAATAGACTATTTTGATGTCTATTCACCTGTGTGTCATCTATCAACTATAAGAATTCTTCTTGCTTTGGCATCTATTGAATACTTTGTAGTGCATTAAATGGATGTAAAGACAGCTTTCCTAAATGGAGAGTTAAATGAGGAAATCTACATGGAACAACCGGAAGGGTATGTCATGAAAGGTCTTGAGGACAAAGTTTGTAAATTGAACAAATCTTTGTATGGTCTTAAACAAGCACCTAAGATGTGTCATCTTAAATTTGACAAAGTGGTAAAGAGTTATGGCTTTCAGTCTAGTTATTCAGATAAATGTCTTTACCATCATTCTATGTCAAATAAGATAGTCATCATTTGCGTGTATGTTGATGACATGTTAATTCTTGGTTCCGATCATTCTGTAGTAAGTGACGTGAAAGCTACTTTAGCTAAAGAATTTGACATGAAAGATCTTGGTATTGCTAATACCATTCTTGGTATGAACGTAAGCTTTGAAAGAAAAGTCATCTCCCTTAGCCAGACTCATTATATGGAGCAACTACTTTCTACCTGGGGATACAGTGAGTGTAAACCGAATGCGACACCATGTGATTATAATAAAAGACTGAATCCTAATGAAGGGACCAGTGTCGATCAATTAAAGTACTCAAAACTGATTGGTAGTCTCATGTATGCTATGAGTTGCATTAGACCTGACATAGCCTTTACAGTTGGCATGCTGAGTCGTTTCACTAGTAATCCTAGTAAAGAGCATTGGGATGCCCTCAGTAGGCTAATGAGATACCTTAAAGGTAATAAAGATTATGCTCTATGTTATTTTGGTTATCCTCCAACTGTGGATGGATATTCTGATGCCTCATGGTGCTTAGAAATTGGAAATAGTAAGTCCACTAGTGGATATGTATTCACTTTAGGTGGAGCTGCTATTACTTGGAAATCCAAAAGACAGACTTGTATTGCATTGTCGTCTATGGAATTAGAACTTTTTTCTTTAGCTTCAGCCAGCGAAGAGGCAGAGTGGATAAAGAATTTGATTATGGATATTCCTTTGACTCGACTAAAGATTAATTCTTTAAACTTGTTCTGTGATAATCAAGCCGCTATCCAAGTCGTCAAGAATGCTCTCTTTAATTCCAAGAAAAGGCATGTGAGACTGAGACATGCGTTGTTGAATTATCTGCGCGAACAAGGAGTTATCACCTTGATCGATGTGCGATCGGCAGATAACATGGCCAATGCTCTCACGAAGGGTATGCCTACAGATCGATTATTCAAAACAGTGAGGGAAATGGGGTTAAAGACTATGTAGATACGTCTTAATTACCATTTACTTACCTTCTAATTGTATGTTTTGCATTATCGAATCTTCCTTTGTTGGCCACAATGATCAGCACAGTTTATGTGTTTCATCGATGTTCATGGTTGCTGATTAATTTGAAAAGAGTGAGTTGTCTTATTCCAAACTTGATGAAGATGACGTTAACCTAATTCAAAGGTTCTATCTGGGGAGCTTGTGTCATTCCAAACTTGATGATACAATCCAACTAGGTTGGACTATCCTTTTGGTTAAATGATCTCATTCCAAAATTGATGCTAGATTATTTGACTTTAAGGAATTAGTAATTATGACATTCCAAATTGAAATATAGAGATAGTTGTTTGCATAAGAAGCCTGTTGGTTATTGTAAGTGACATGACTATTGGTCATGTTCTTTGAACTAGACAATGGTTATTCACTTACAAATAAATTGAAGTTGATGGCTTTTTGTAATTCAAACTGTTTAGGCTTTGTTCATAATTTATGAAACTGGCTTGATGCTTATGAACATGATATTATGATGCTTTATGACATTAATATATGTTCTTCTCTGCCTGATTGAATTCATAATAATATGAAATTCATATTTGACATTCTACAGGGGATGGCAGAGATGGAGGAGAGCTTACTGGGTGGGATCCTGACCAAGATGATCTACTAGATGAATGAATATATCATTTAGAGTATGTAGGGACTTGACAAGTCACCTGCTATTGCCCATTTTGATGGAGTCCATTTATTTGAGACTTCCATTTTGCTATCTCTATTTTGTGAACATTATTGTGCTTGGTTCTTGTATTTATAAGGCTTTGGACTATTTTGGATGGCCTATTTATAATTGACTGTTATGCATATATTGGTTGTGAACTGATTCTGAGATTTATTTTGGATATTGGGATTTGGATGAGTTTAGACTAAATTTGAAACTCTTCATATTTAATTTTATGTGCTGATCTCAGAATAGATTCATGATAAGGATGATTCACTTATTTAGATTGCAAATTATGATTGAGTTTAATATTTAGTGCTAAAACTCTTTGACCGATCCAAGTTGATTGTCTTGGACTGAACGTGGATGATTCATATTTGTTTGAACATTACACTGACCACCGTATTGGATTGTGCTGTATGGTGAACATAGGAGGAGATTGTTGGATATATTATTAATATAGTCTAAATAATATGTTCACATACAAGCCCAATAGGTTTAAAGCATGGTCATTTTGGGCCCACATGGGCTAGAGCCCAATAGCTTATTTATAAACTCTAGGGTTTACCTACGCTGGAGGTAACACTGTTGAGTTTTCAAACTTGACGTCTCTTGGTGTAATACTTCAAGCAAAACACTATCCTACTCTCTCAAACCCATAACCTTCAACAGACTCGATTAGCCAAGTGTCCCAACTCCAACGTCAACGGTGCTCAAATGAGAACACTACTTTTCTCTTTTTCAATAACATGTAGCATCCGATTAATACCTATGAAAATGCATAAGTCGCCCTTGCCCACGACCGCATGTGGCAAAGCTCATCCCTAGCGGGCGTAGACCCCCCGAGTCCGCGTGGGCGAGTTTGAATGCAAGATCCGTCGGATCCAATCACCCAAGATCCTAATTCCCACTCCTAAAAGGCTAAAACTTCCCTCGCCAAAAAAAAAAAAAAGGTCCAAACTACAATCGTCATGAAAAAAATTATGAAAAAGGAATTGCAAGAAAAAAAAAAGGAAATCCACGCAAGCAAGTCGCTGTCGCCGACCGGAGACAAATTCCTCAGTCCATCAACCGTCACCACGAAGCACACATTTTACAGTTATTCCCGAAAGAAAAAAACCAAAACCCAAACCAAAAGCAAAGCCAACCACTTTCGATCGCTTTCGAGCCGATCCTCCCTCCTTCCCTCCTTCGCTTCGCCTCGCTCCTCGTCTCGCTCCAGCGCCGACCGCGAGCTCTCCTGCTCCTTCTCTCCACGCCCCCCCGCGCGCGCCGAGCCGAGCCATGTCCCCGCGCTCGCCGCGAGCTCCGGCGGAGGAAACGCGGCCCGCGGCGGCGGCGGTGGAGCTCTGGTGAATCTAGGGTTTTCTCGTGGGTTGGTGTGTGTGTTGTAGTAGAGAGAGAGGGAGAGGGGGAGAGAAAGAGGGGGGAGATGAAGGAGATCGTGGGGAGCCCCGGGACGGTGAGCGGGATGGCGTTGAGGGTGGGGCAATGCGCGTGCGCCGGTGCCTCTATCGGCTTCATGGTCTCTGCTCTCGGGTTCTCCAACTACACTGCTTTCTGGTACTCGTTCAGTCTTCCCGACTGTATCGATTTCTTTCTCGTGTGCTTTTTTTTTTTTTTTTTTTTGCTCTCGCGGTATCGAATTTTTTTTCGGGTTTTCGGTTTTATGATGCGAGTGATCTGTGATTGGGGGCATCAACAGGTTTAGTGTATCCAAGGTGAGTGTTGGTTTATAGGTTTAGTTTGGCCAAGGTGATTGGTGAGAGCTTGGTATAGTGGCCATCACATTAGGTGGCTGAATTTTCTTCCCCTATTCCTGTATGAATATGCGCTGTCAGTGGCTCGGCGCATTGTTATGGATGCATGGAATGAAGTGTTGAATGAGGTTTACACGTTTTCTGTACTCATGTAATAGCCTGCTTATGCATCAGTTCTTTTGAGCTGATGAATCTTTGGGAGCAGTATTTTGCAAGCTTGCACGTGGTTAATCTGAGTGTGGGGTGCTTCAGTATCTGGAGGGCAACTTGTGTGGTTAAGTCCCCATTATGAGATACACATAGCTGGGAGTATGCATCTCTGCAGTGTAAACAGAGGGATACGGTGGAAAAGATCAGCAGAAGTTCTTTAAGACCATATGCATTGTGTTGCGTAGAACAAATAAGCAAACTGCCAATGTACTTCTGATGAAGAGACCCATTTTTAGTTTCCTTTTCAAATGCATGCAAGTACCCTCTTATGTACATAAAGCCTGTGTTGTATCAGTGAAAAAGACCCTCACTTTTATAAAGATGATGATTTTCTGCTTTTAGTAGATACTTGCCAGAATGTCTAGTGTGTCACCAAATATGCTGACTGCTGGGAGTTAGCGTCCTCTGACTACTACATGCATGAAGGTGTTGGTGATAGTTTTGATAGCTTGGTTCTATTTTTTTCCCCTCCCCCTCACTTCTTTGATCCAACAATGAAGTGGAGCTGACATTAAAATGAAGAGGGTGATATAGATATTGCTTGGCCCTTGAAGGTAGATAGCTTGGAAGTTCAGAATGAAAACTTGCTCGAGGTAGAGGTGGATTACTCATTATTTGTTGAGCTTCTTTGCAATCCTTCACTTCAGCTTTTCCTCTGACTCTGGATAGTGGTGGGCTAGGAAGCTCCATGCTGTGTTATTAATAGTATGAACATAGAGTGCAGAAAAATGATGGTACAAAAGCTTAGCTGGGAAATAGAGAACTAAAGAGGCAACTCTTTTATTAATAAAGAGAATATAGATATAGAGAATACCTCTTTAGGGCACCTTAGGGCGTACAAACCAAAGGCAAAGGGAACTTAAGAGCCAAAAAAGAGCTCAGTTACAGGGCAATTGATCTATGGGATCCATCAATGCATTTAAATCCACAACTAAATTTCCTCGGTAGCAAAACACAGATTTTGAGCTAGATTTTAATAGTTACAATGAAAGACTCTTCTTCTTCTTCACAGGCTCTCTTGTTCCGTGCTTTGTAAATCAACTGAAAACCCGGAAAGAGTGTTTGAAGAGATCTTTTGTTTCTAGTCTCATGGAATGAGCGCCCTACCAAGCCTTTAATTCTCGCTAAATAAACCATAGGGCCTCCTATAACCCAACTTAGCAGGGTACATGCATAAGAAGCTGCCACATCCTTTCTTGTCAAGGAGAATGAAGAAGCAGCCTCACGGTTTTTGCTTCTTTTTTTGTGAAGGAAGCACCTAGTGGAGACTATTTAATGACAATATGTAAAGGTGGAGTTTTATCCAATGTGAATTATAATGATAAAAGCTTCTGAAGTGCTCTGTTCAAATCCATTTCCAACCATCAGACTTACCTCAGGACTGCAGGGTGGAACTTTTATTTTACGAGTATAATAGCAGATCTTTTAGAAAGAGCTACTCAGATAAAAACATTAGCAGTCTTTGTGCTTTTAGGTCATAGTTTATCTGATGTGCTGCCATAAAGCCGATTCGTTGCTATTCTGACATTCTCCACAAATTGCAGGAGATTAATGGAAAGGTCAAGTACTCGTCATTCCTAAGGTTCTTTCTTGGTTGGATAGCGGCAGTTGTTGTGATTTTCTGAGATTGTGGAATGATTTCAACTTTTGGCTTAGAGGAGCCTTTAGAACTTGAAATTTTATTTAAAACTTACAAAATGGGTGGAGACAGAACTAGGAAATTGAGTTGATGCATCTGGCATGTTGATCACATTACGCTATCTCATGAAATGTTATATATTCTGCCATTTGAAATCTCCACAGGCATTCTTCATCTGTGGAAACAATTGTAGTACTTTTGTTTGACAGACAAGTTTGAGGTGATTCCCTAGAAGAGTACTGTGGGGCATGGAAAACCACTGATATGACCTTGTGCAAGTGTGTATACTGGAGGCACCCCCTTGGTTCCATTTTTAGTAAATTATCTTAACTTATGAAAAATTGGTGCTTGTATGCAGTTGGGAGGAAGGAAAGTATGGTTTTCTATTATCGGAACTTTAATTGATAGAGTATTCATATTTCCAGTGCTATGTGAATGGAGCTGTTTTTGCTGAGTTAATGTCTCTGCATCTACGGTGCAAATTTTATGTTGTGCGAATGTAGTTGTCCATGTATTATATCTTTGATGAGCTTTCTATGCTCTCTAGTCCTGTTTGTGGGAAATACAATGTTTTACTGATCCAAGGTGTTTCCTGTTTATTAGAATTTCAAATGCTTTATCATATCAAATAAGTTGCAACTGGCACTGATATACCTTCTTACAGCTACTTAATTGCGTCGATGGGCCTTCAAGTGTTATGGAGCTTTGGACTTGCCTGCCTTGATGTCTATGCTTTGAAGAGAAAAAGAGACCTACAGAATCCTGTCCTTGTGAGCCTGTTTGTTGTTGGTGACTGGGTATCTTTCTTGATCCTTGGCCTCTGATGTTTGTTAGGCTAAACATCCTTGTAGGAAATATGCAATAGTTTGTTTCTTTTCCATGAATGTGTTTTGAATGTTTTCGTAGATTACTCAGTCTTTTAATTTTGGGTTGAAAATAAATACAAAATCGGTAGATTGCGTGTTAAGTGATATCTCAATCAGTTGGATTTAACCTGTGACAACACCTCCAAATTATTCTTCCTGTCTCTTATTAGATACTGCACAAAGTTGGTCCCTCCAGTACTTTGTCATTATTCTGCATTTGACCGGTCAAACTTCCTATGCTTCATTTTATTTTGAATAAGAAGGCTAAAGCATGTGCCTGTTAGCTGAAATTTCTTTTCCAGATCCATTTATGAATTGTTACTTTAATTTCCTTTAAGTTGCTGTGATTTCTTCGGATGCTTGATAGGAAAAAGAGTGGAGCCTTTCACTTGCACACCGGCGTGGGGGCGTCTTTTTAGCTGATAATATTCTGGCGTATTTATTAAGGAGTCAAGTAATAATGACACTTTCATCCGCAAGAGACCTGCTATGCCTGACTCTTAGCTACCCACTCATTCTGTCTAATTCGCCTGTGGGTGATGGAGACTTGACTTAGTAAAACATTTGTGGTATTTGTCGCTTCTTTTTTCTTCCTCAAGTGTTGTGCTCTTTTCAGCTGGATCGCCTGAAGTTCGCTCCCACAAATATAGCCGTCCGTACCCCCTCATGTCAATCCGACGAGCCTCTTCTTGAGGATTCTTGACATTTGATAACATCTCTAACACCAGATTCCTTAAAAATTTTGTCAAACAGATCGCCATTTCTTCTGACAGAATACTTTGCTGTTTCTTCTAATTTGGTCTGGTTGTGGTGCTGGTGCTTAAGCATAGCATGTTGGTTTTCAATTTCTCATCGGAAAGGAATCATATAGCAGTTGATATTAACTTAAGCACTTGGTGGAGCTATTCTAATTTTCATCTTATGGGAGTGTCTTTTGGCAGAATTCTTTGTTACATACTCTGCTGATCATTCTTATTCTTTGGGTGCACCCATCTTCAGTGCCTCTACTTTACTCTATGTTAATTCTTGAATGATATCTTCTAGGAAGTATTGGCACTTCCTATTACAGTAAAGGGAAAAATGTATGAGATCACTGCCTGCTTGACCATTTGGCTATGATCATGCAGGTGACGGCTACATTATCACTTGCAGCTGCATGCTCATCAGCCGGTGTTATCGTTCTATATTCTAGGGACTTGCACATCTGTAGGGCACAGGCTCATCTACCGTGCGGCAGATTTCAACTTTCGGTAGCATTGGCATTCTGTACCTGGGCCCTTATTGCCATGTCATCTCATGTTATGTTCTGGATCTTGGCATCGATATAGAAGGCCTTACTTTGAGGCCTCACTTTATGAGGATACTGCAGTATCTATGGTTTCACTTGTATATTCCAATGCTCCTATCCTTTTTTCGCCTTCTTCCCCGTGGGTCAATGAACTACACTCTTCAGTTGCCTAATATTCTGGGCAATTTTCAGGATGTTCCTCTCTGTTTTGTTGGGCTTTGCCTCTTTGGTTTTTCAGTACAAATGGAAAAGCACTTTGCTTGAGCTTTCTGATGCAGATGAAGATTTTTAGTGAATTATTTAGTTTGCCATTGTTTTCTGCGACCGAGCATTTGGTTGTGGGTGAGTTCTTTTTTGCCTCTGTATTAGGAGGTGGCTTGCAATCCACAGCAGGGTGAGGCTTGTTGCTAGGTGCCTTTGTCATGGATTGAGTCTAGTTTACCCTGATATGTTGTTACTTTGGTGTCATATTGTGGGACGGATTATGAGGGCAGAACACAAACCTGTCTTTGTTTTCTAATTGTTTCATTTCACTACTACGGGGGAGGGAAGACGATATTGTCTAGACTTAAGTCTATGTATGGACACGGACAGCACCAATCTTTGTACAAAAGCTGTTTAGGATCTTGTGTTTTATAGTGAAACTCCAAGTGGCTACTATTGATTCTTGAAATGTGATTGGTTTCGTATAGTAAATTTAGTGTATGCAATACTTGCTCGGAGAATGGAGGTTTAGAGAGTCTAATCATCTAATTTTGTTGGATTTCTCCATTGAAAAGATGACCGAGTTACTTTACTCTTCTTGAGCCGAGTAACTTGATCTCTTGTAAAAATTGTGCTTTCTTGATTTTCCAAGAAAATAAACTAGGTCGGACCGGATATCTTTTCTGAAACCATGAGTTGGCACGTGATCACATTGAAAAGGGCAATCAGACACTCCTTAGGATAGGAAAAGCAAACGATTTTCAATACTGGCATTGTTTCTCTGCATTTGAGCTAATATGGACTACGGAGTGTTCTTCTACGGGAGTGTCATGATCAGAATTGAAGCTACAGTTTTCTCTGGTCCATCGCGACCGAGCATTAATAATCGGACATTAGAGTGAAACAGCTTCCAATATTGTACTTTTCGTAGTTTCTGAAATTTGACTTTTTAAGAATTGTTCGTACAATCCAACATCACACAAATGGTGTCGCCTTCACTCACCATTTTCCAAGACTTAACATACTCGTACTTTCTCTGAGGATTTTGCTTTGGGTTTACAGTTCAGCAGATCTAATTAATAAAACCCACATGAGGAAACCACGCCAAGAGTCATGACAGTAAGCAACAAAGACTTTTAACCTCCTTGAAGTATACTTATGATGTATTCGATTTCGTCGGCTACTTCCTTCATGTTGGGGCGGTTGTGCCTCCGCTCATCCAAGCATGATGACGCGAGATATCCAAGCGCCTTCATGGTCTCTAATTCCAACTTCGTGGCACCCTCTTTGATCGCTGGATCGACCGCATCCATCAGTCTTTCTTCTTTTAGAATCTTCTTGATATGGATTGCCAAGTTCACCTCTTCCTCATCTCGATTGAAGTCAATGGCCTTCTTCGAAGTCAACAACTCTAGCAGAACAACCCCAAAGCTGTATACATCGCTCTTATCAATAAGTTGAAAATTCAGATAGTATTCGGGATCAAGATAACCGAGTGTTCCTTGAGCGCAGGTCGTGATGTGAGTTGCATCTGTCTCGGCTAACCTTGATAACCCGAAATCGGACACTTTAGCATCGAGCTTTTCATCTAGTAGTATGTTACTAGATTTAATATCCCTGTGGAAAATGGGCGGTACAGCTGAAGTATGAAGATATGCAAGTCCCTCGGCTGTTTGGTGGGCGATAATAAGCCGACGGTACCACGTGAGCGGAGCCCATTTACATTTGTATTGACCGTGAAGATGGTCGAAAAGATTTCCATAAGGTATGTACTCGTAAATTAGCAGAGGCAGCTCAAGATCCACGCAGCAACCCAGCAGTCTCACCATGCTCCGGTGATTCACCTGGCAAAGGATCCGAACCTCGTTCAGGATCTGGTCTATTCCCTTTGTGTTCCCGAGCTTGGCACGCTTGACGGCAATAACGGTTCCGTTGTCAAGGGTGCCCTTGAAGACCTCGCCGAAGCCGCCAGTGCCAAGGAGGTTCTCCCAGGAGAAGTTTCCTGTGGCTCTCGTGATCTCCTTCCCCGTGAAGATCTTGGCCGCTTTGCCGCTGCTATTGGCATTTAGGATGTCTTCGCGCATTTTGGTCAATCTGAGTTGTGCTTCCCTCCTGATGCGCTCGCGCTGCCGGTGGACTACAAAAAGAACTGCGAAGCCGAACAGGACTGCCGCGGTGCTCAAGGTTAAACCTGCAAAAATTGGGGAAAGTTTCGGGTCAAATTGGCGAAATTCTTAATGAAATCAAGTGGAAACTTTCCGGGTTGAAAATTGAAATACGTACCTCCAATTAGTGGAACTTTGCTTTGCTTCTCGCAATCTTCTGGTCTTGGACACGTGATATCTACAAGAAAATAAAGGACTAGTTTATGCCTAGTTCACCACAGATGCTTATGTTTGCTGCAGATATAAATGTCTGATTGCTGAATCGAACGTATTCACTAGAATGTGCCTAGTTCTGTGGCATGATGATCTATTTTGTTATGGAACAGGTGACTAATGAAGCATCTCGCTTCTGAACACTATGTTTGGATTAATTTATTTGATGCATCTGCCACTATTTATTATAATGCATTGTTTCGAAACGCAGTGCTTCTCATGAAATTTAGTTAATTAGATTTTGCTACATAAAGTGATACATCATGTTTCTGTTTTTTTTCATATGTTCGCGTAGATTTTAAGAAAACAACTTGCTATCCTACTTACTGTAACATACGCCCGCGATTGGATCCCACCGAAACCCGGATTGGCAAAAGCACCGTTTTTGCACGGCCTTCACGTGTTCCACCGAGCACAACGAATTGGCCGAGTTCTGGCAATCCGCCTGGGAGGTGCACAATGGCTCCTGAGGCAATTCCCACTCCAATTCCAACCCGCTGAACGCCACCCACTTGCTCACAGGCAGCGAAGTGTCCAGATTAACGAAGCTCTGGTAAGCCGCGCAACGGTCCGGGCGGACCCTGATCCTGTGCTCGTTCTGGGACCCGCCTGTCGTCACTGAGCAGCACAAGGGGAAGGCACCACACGAGGCTGCCGCGAGGGGATTGTCCCTGAGATACGCATGGCATATGCTTGTCGGTGTACAATCTAGAGCCAACGTCAACACTATGGTGGAGCAATTCATCAGCACCAGGGTGTTGCTGCTGGTTATGTTGAAGGGAAGGCTCGGGTCGAGGGAGATTCCCTGGCTCATGTAGTCGACCGACATGCAAGCATGGTCGACCCAATTCGACGGCCTAATCACTAGCCTCTGCGACTGTGGGTTGATGGACGTGATGACGTAAGACGACCCATTGAGTGCGTCAAAGAACAGCGTTCCGAAGCTGCACCGGACTTTGTACGACTGGTCGCCACAGCTCGGTCCGGTGCTCAATGGGTAAGGGACGGTCATGTTGCCACAATTCGGGCAGGTCATCGTGCCCTCTATGCAAATGTCGCACGATAGTATCACGAGCGCCCCGGCAAAGAGTGCAATCGCGAGAGTAAGTGTATTGCTCATGTTGGCCAGTACTTGAATGATACGAACTGTTGTTCTGGTTCAGGCCGTCCTAGTACAATTGAGTGAGTGAGTGAGTGACACACGAACTGTTCTCGTTATAACGCAGAAAAAGCATTGTCCAGTGTAAATCTCGTACCCAACAAAAGGCAAATTTTTATCTTTTCGAGGCCTAGGGAATGCTGGGGAGTTACTCATCAGTGGACAAGAGAGATCATGGGACAATGTATTAAGGTAAAAGCACGTTGAGGTTTCCTAAAAACTAGACAATTTGTTGTATGAAGATCCTTGATTCTCGTTATGAAATGGAGATGTTCACGCATTGTTCCCAAGAAACTTTAATCAGTCACCTCGTTAAGTGTAACTTCGGTTCTGGTTTTGGCCCTTTGTACAAGTCACTCCTGGTGATCTCACCGGGCCCAGAGAAATTGAGTCTCTTAAAAATTTCCTGTTTTAACCTGAATGCGAAGTTATTGTATGCCATATGTGCCATTATCGAGCCATTTCAAGGGAAAGAGAGGATTACTGAGCAAATATCGAGTCCTTGAGTAGTAAATTTTCTCTTTGGTAGCGTAGGGCTGTTGGGGATGGTGAATCGTCCATTTAGCGTAGTACTTCTTTTGGTATCTCGATTGATCTTGATCATTGACTTTATTAATTCATACCATCAAGTCTACCCATTCCGAATATTTTGATCAAATGATCGGATTAGTATTAGAAAGAGTCGTTTAGAAAAGTTCTCCTTCCACCAACCTCCTTACTCCATCTCTGGATCACCTTATCCTCCTCCGGGAGATGAAGGGCTAGGAGTCAATTAATTTGGGAGATGATTGTCGATGGCATGCGTCAATCGTTGTCCACATCGTCTCATGTCAAAGTCAGTCGGATGGCAAAGAGTCTTCAAAGAGTAGTCACTAATGGCCTCATCAAAGAGTGGTGCATTGAGGCATATTTGTTTGCTTGAGAGGTACCGCAGTCGGTCCGTCATTCAGGGCCGCTAGAAAGCGCCGTGCGGGTCAAAGGATCTTCACTTGGCTAGTAACACCTATGATAGGCACGAAGAAGAAGCAATAGACAGCTAAGTGTCACACAATGTTAAGTTCAGTGCCTAAGGATGATGGATGCGAGCCAAGGAAAGGTCGAGCAATTGATGTATGAAGTAACGTTAGTGAAAGCCATATTTACAAGTGAGTTTAATATGTTTTTTCATGCATACCATGAAAAGTGAGTTAAGGCGACTAGCGTAGTTGCCTCACACAGAAGCCTAACTATAGGGATTATTTCACAAACTACTATAGTATGTTTGGCTTTCGATGTCGCATTATCCCTACTGAATCACTGTGCTCAAAAGCTGCAAACTGTTTTTTGAAGAGGTATACTCGTGATGGGTCAGTTCGACAGAATGACCCCACCAAAGTGCCAACTGAATATGACCCCCACTCTAAGTGGTGTGGCTCGGAGTTCAAGTTCCGGACCTCTAACCACATGCTGAGAAATCACTTGGGAGTAAACCCTTTTTTCAGCTGAGCTATATACCTTTGTGGTGAGTTATATGTATGATTAAATGTGCTA